CATGCGAACGGGCATTTGAAGGGCCAGACAGAAAACATAAACACCAGAACACACACACATACACACTCACATACATACATACACACACACAAACACACACACAGATACATCCACACACACACACACACATGCACACATGCGAACGGATATTTGAAGGGCCAGACAGAAAACATAAACACCAGAGCACACACACATACATACACACACACACACCAACAGACACAGAGACCGTCTTTTGGTATCGCTTAGTTAGATCTGACCACTACAATAGCGGTTCGTGGCGAGGCGATGCGCGAAGACTGCCCCATCGGACAGATGGTCGGTCCAATCTTGATAAGACGGGCTTGCAGAAATGTAGAGCTTCAGGAAACCCATGCCAAAGGCAGAAGAGCTGTTTGCGGGTAGCTGGAAGCAAGTGAGCCACGCCGGTTGGGAGGCTTTCGGCAGAGAAGGGTGATTGCACCCGACGAGTCTGGCCTCTTTCCCGGACCGGCAGATGATGAGTTTGCCGGAGCCCAGTTGTGGGAAAGACAAAGGAGGCCTGTTGCTTGCGTTGGCAGGTGTCGACACGAGACGCCGTGGAGGTGGGTCTTTGGCTCAATTTCACTGAATTGCACAACGTTGCATCTGTCAAAGATGCTACGGCCAGGTGGGATGGGCCCCAGTTGAATGGGAAACATACAAGTTGTCGGAGGGGCTTTCTGTTGGGAGATTCCGTAAAGTCGCCAATGACCTCACGAGATCACCAAGTCTAAAATATGATGTCTTCCGTCGAGAATTCGGTTCTGAATGGTCAAGACGTGAAGAGAGGACGATCGCTTTCGTGCGTCGCTTGAAGTGACGCAAGGTCTGAGAGTTCAATTAGCCACATTTAAGATTTACTCATAGCCACGGAGCATACTCATGACAACTATTTGCGCACACTGTTTAATGGATATTCTGAACGATGCAATAACTTAAGAACGGCTTTCAAAGTGATATTAATTTAAAAGTAAATAGTAACTAATAAGTAGTGCGCATCAACTAGGCGAAACTAGCATTTTTTGTTTGGCAATCTTCTTCGACTTGAATTCGAGGAGATTATATTTATAGACAATCTGTGCTTCTTAAATAAGAACCTTAACCTTCGTGATTGTTTAAATAACGCAAGGACTAACAATTCAATAAATCCCAATTAATTTAGAAGAATATTTTAAAGTAAATAGTAATTAATAAGTAGTGCGCATCAACTAGGCGAAACTACTATTTGGTTTAACCCTTTTCTTCGCCTTGAATTCGAGAAGATTATATTTATAGACAATCTGTGCTCCTTAAATAAGAACTTTACCCTTCGTGATTGTTTAAATAGCGTAAGGACTAACAATGCAAAAAATCCCAATAAATTTAAGAGAATATTTTAAAAGTAAATAGTAACTAATAAGTAGTGCGCATCAACTAGGCGAAACTACTA